ATTTTTAATGATCGTTGAAAGCCCAGATCGTAATCGAGATTAAAATTCGATTAATTGAGCAGCCCTACTTGGTTCCATGAATCTCAGCCTTCAGTGGGAATCTGATTTCTAAACACAGTCCTGAGCCACCCCTCCTTTCTTTACAGTGAGCCAGACTCTGTTGTCACTAAGTTTCTTAAACAATAGTTCTCCAGCTCGCTGAGAGTCGCTCAGACCTGGACCACTTTAACTCTGACTTTTCAATAATTCAATCTTAAAAAGAGCTCAGGGGATGAACCAGTGTTGTGTCCACATAACAGACACGTTTGCAAAGAACTAGCAGTTTGATACTAACACAAAAACATAATTTGTTTCCCTTCCTTTAGATAAATAAAAATGACAGTCTGGAAGGTATTTAATGCCATTTTGCATTCAGCTAGCAACTGTTAGCTGAAAACTGATCTCAGCATGCTAACATTACTGAGATGTGCTGGACAAGTGGAGGAAAAAAGAAGTGGCAGGCCTACAAAGCTGTCTAAAGTTGACTGAAAGTCTCAAGAAGTCAGAAACAGGAGCCTGTGTAGAGCGAGTGGACCACAGGATAGGATAGGATGGACAGATGGAGTCTATCTTTAATTAGCCGATTATCCTCATGTGTGCTAACGTTTGTGTCTTCAGGTCACATTAGGATATCAGACCTGGGTCTAGCGGTTCATGTGCCAGAGGGAGAAACTATCAAGGGACGAGTGGGAACAGTGGGATACATGTGTAAGTGACCTCTGATCTTTACTGAGCACATTTCTGTGAGCACTGCACTAAAGTATGAAGTGCTTTCACATCAAACATTTCAAAGGAACGTTAAATGTTTTTACCAACTTTAATTTAACACTGAGACATTTCACAATAACAGAAAACTTTTACACTTAACACTCGAGTGTTGGGAAACGTTTGGTTATTCCTGTGTGTTTGTACTCAGTTTATCTATTTTAGGACTTTTACAAAGTGGTAATTGTACTTTTACTGTAGTACAAACATCCGCCTCACGATCCAGAGTTGTAATTTCTCTCCCGCCGCCTCCTCGCTCCCCTCCAGCTCCAGAGGTGGTGAAAAACGAGCGGTACACCTTCAGCCCTGACTGGTGGGCGCTGGGCTGCCTGCTGTACGAGATGATCGAGGGCCAGTCGCCGTTCCAGCAGAGGAAGAAGAAGATCAAGAGGGAGGAAGTGGAGCGGCTGGTGAGGGAGGTGGAGGAGGAATATTCCAGCAAGTTCTCCGAGGACGCCAAGTCCGTCTGTAAAATGGTGGGTGGACGCGCCGGCGAGCGGCCAAATCAGCTTCTTTCTCTCCGGCGTCTTTAGCTCCCATCTGCCACCTCAGTCACGCCATCGCTGACTGATGTTTTCTTACTCCGGTTTTTAGACTCGGCTTTTCAGAGTGGCTGAAACGTTGCGGCGAGATCTCCCTGCTCCCTGCAATTATTCGTAATCGTCCAATATTCCTGGATCCAGGAGGACGTGTGGATCCAGATTAGCTGTACCCAGATACATTCATCCCATTCATCCAGACTCAGAACCGAACATAAGACAACGTTAGCTCATAACACCACGAGGCTGGGGGTGCGTCTCCCCCCAGAATCCAGCCTTCTTTGGCGTGAAAGGCAAACATTTTAAAACGCCGCACCACGTCACGGTCGAGGGCCGAATCACAAACCTCGTTATAAACATCCCAGATTTTGGTGAATGGACGAAACTCACGCAGAGAAACGTCCAGGAACACGACGCAGACGCTGAGCTGATGGATACGCGTCGTCCGTCTGCGGTTCAGCCATGTTTGCCGAGTCTGCTAACAAACAGAAGACAGAATAACCTCCCAACAGGAAATACTGCAGTTTGTTTTTGCTCATTGGTCAGATTTCCACCTGCATCTTTTTTTTAACCCTTTAAGACCATAGAACCAAGTCCGCCAGAGCTTATATTATATTTTTACATGTTGTGGAGCCATTTTTGGGAGCATTTCAAGTTGATATACATCAATACAACCATTACAGCCTAAATTTTAATAATATGTCTGCATTAAGTGCATAGTAATTACATAAATTGC